GGGTCCAAGGATTGGTAGCCATAACTTCTGATTCCTGATCTGTTACTCATCAACTCCAGACAAGCCCTCTGACCTCTCTGGCCTTGGCTTTCCTCTGTATCCCTTAAATGTTAGCATTTTTGTGGTTCTGTGTTCATATCAAAAAAAAAAAAACCCAATGGCTTCAGGCCCCGTGAGACCCCAGTTATAATGAATATTGGCAGCTTGGAAAGGACAGGGAAAAGAAACAAGTGGACTAGCCTCGTCCCACAGTACAGGGAGTACAAGGCTGGTACTCTGCCCCATAGGTCAATGACAGCACTAAAGAAGAAGGAAGTAAACTAACTGAGCTGGTGGTGTGAAAGGCGGCTGAGTCAGAACTAAACAAGCAAAGGGATGAATGCTGATTTCAGCAGCAGCCAAGCAACACACACACACACACGTGACCAGATTTTAAAATTAGTGGAAGTTTGGGAAGGGGAGTAATGGGTCTTCCAAATGGTTTTGCAAGAATCTCAAGCTATTCCCTCACTTAGAATCATTCTATTCAGATTTCCTCCAAACCCATAAAGCATCAAACTGAAGTTACACACAGAATCAAGTCATCATCACCTCATCTGTCACTTGTTTTAAAATGTATTTTTATTAACTCTTTGAGAATTTCTTGCAATGTGTTTTGTTTCTTTGTGGTTTTTTTGAGACAGGGCTTCTCTGGGTAGCTCTGGCTGTCCTGGGACTCGCTCTGTAGACCAGGCTGGCCTTGAACTCAGAGATCCACCTGGCTCAGCCTCCTGAGTGCTGGGATTAAAGTGTGAGCCATCATACCCGTTTCAGGTAATGCGTTTTGATGATATTCACTTTATATTCATCCCGCTAACTCTGGCCATATCCACCCCCACCTCCACACCTCCCCCCAACTTATGTCCTCTTTAAAAACAAAACACACAAAAAAGGCCAAGTGTAGCTGTAACACGAATTCCTAAACGGTCTTATTAGTAAAAAACCCGGAGTCAGATATTGGGGTGAGAGCTGAGAGATCAAAGGAATAGAACAAGCCAGCCACAAGTTCTTACTGCTAGGAAATCCTCAGCCCAAGAGAAAGCTACTTTCTGTATACTCATGTCTATATCCTGTCTGTGCCCTGCCATCTTACTTCCTCTCTCTGCCCAGCTATATCACTTCCTCTTTCCAATAAGCTCTGTCATTTCCTGTCCGTCTGTACAGACCTCCATGGTTAACTAGTGCAGGGATTAAACGCATGTGCCACCATGCCTGGCTCTGTTCTGAGTGTGGCCTTGAACTCACAGAGATCCAGATGAATGTCTGCCTCCTGAATGCTAGGATTAAAGGTGTGTGCTACCGTTGCTTGACCTCTCTATTTACTATAGTGGCTGGATTTATCCTCTGATCCCCAGGCAAGCTTAATTTGTTAGAGTACAAATAAAATATCACCGCATGTAGTAGCACAGGCCTGTGATCCCAGGGGTTGGATTTATCTTATTTTTATGTGAATGAGTGTTTTACTTGCATGTAAATAAGTGCACCATATACATGCCTGGTGCCCATAGGGGTCAGCAGAGGGTGTCAAATTCCCTGGAACTGGCGTTATGGATGGTTGTGAGCCACCATGTGGATGCTGGAAATCAAAACCAGGTCCTCTATAAGATTAACAAGCACTTTAAACCACTGAGCCTTCTCTCTAGCCCCCTCTTTTTTAAAAAATACCCCACGAAGCCCAATTTGTGTTGCCCACATACTTCTGAGTGTGGGGCACCCCCTGGAATGTGGTCAACCTGCCAGAATCCATACCTGTAAGGAAGACAAACTTTCTCTGCCAGCAGCTATCAGTTGTCAACTCTTCAGCTAGAGGTGGGACTTCTTGACCTCCTTCCCGCTCCAGGCTGAAATTTTTGTCCAGGCTTGTTCTTGGTCAGGTCTTGTGCATGCTATGACAACCACTGTGAGTTCCTACTTGTAAATACCCGGTTGTGTCCAGGAAACTCTTCCCATGTAGTCCTCTACAGCCTCTGGATGTAGCATGAATCTTAAGAATTCGTATTGATAAAAATAAACCTGAAGCCAGGTATTGGGGTGAATGCTGGAAGATTAGAGAGACAGAACAAGCCACAGCGTCCTCCCCCACCACCAATTCCTCTGCTGATCCTGTTTCCTCAGACTGGAAGCCTCTGAGTCCTCATCCAAATGGATCTCAGCTGAACTGCTTCTTGAAAGCCTGAAAGCTTAACCAGGTCTTCACACCTTAAATACCTTTCTGTTTCCTGCCATCACTTCCTGAGATTAAGGGCATGAGTCACCATGCCTGGCTGTTTCCAGTGTGGCTTTGAACTCACAGAGATCCGGATGGATCTCTGCCTCCAGAATGCTAGGATTAAAGGCATGTGTGCCACCATTTTCTGGCCTCTATATCTAGTGGCTCTTCTGTTCTCTAACTCCAGATAAGTTTATTAGGGTGCACAATATTTTGGGGAATACAATATCACCATATCAGGATCTTACAGTCTTTCTACCCCTGTTTCCATGATGCTCCCTGAACCTTGAAGCGAGCCAGAGAGTATGATATAGATGTCCCATTTAGGGCTGAGAACTCTAAAGTCTCGTATCCTCCATGTGTTGCCCAGTTGAGGGGCTCTGTGTTAATCACCATCCACTGCAAAATCCTCTCTGAGGGTTGAGAAATGCACTAATCTATGGGTAAAGTAATGTCACCCCAGAACGGGGGTGTGGGAGAAACAGTGGCAAACCCATTTGATTTGTAATACTACATGCTGCTCACAAGGAATAAAATCAACAGAGCCACAGGATATGGTTGCCCTACACTATAGGAAAGAAGGTGTTGGCTGCTTTCAGAAAGCTTGGTTAATGGATTCACTTGGATGCTCTACTAACTGTAGTGTCTCAATGAACAAATTACCACCAGGTTAACTACAAACTATGGTAGTTAAGAAACAGTGCCAGAATGGGTCTTTCTTCTGTCAAAGTATTGTTTTCCAAAAGTTAAAAAAATATGTGGGTGGTGAGGCTAAGGGTGTGGCTCAACAGTAGAGTACATGCCTAGCCAGTATGTGAGACCCTAGGCTCGATCCCCTAAAGGGAAAAAGTGAGTGTGTACCATTTGGAATGGTCCTTATTTTTTAATGAATGAATTGATTGGTTAATTAACTGATTGATTTAAGACCAGATCTCCTCACTCTGGAGTCAGTTTGGCCTCTTAACTCACAAACCTTGTGAGGATGGTCTTATTTATTTATGTAGAGACAGGGCTTATCTGGGTAGCCCTGGCTGTCCTCAAACTCAGAGATCTGCCTGCCTCTGCCTTCCAAGAGCTGGGACTAAAGGTGCTGCTCTCTATACTCAGCTCAGCTGTGATTAAAGGTATGGCTCACTATGCATAGCTCCTAAATTTTTGTTTTTTTGAGACAAGGTTTCTCTGTGTAGCTATAATTGTCCTAGAACTTAAGCAGTAGACTAGACAGACCTCAAACTCAACAAGATCTGCTGGCCTCGGCCTCCTGAGTGCTGAGATTAAAGATGTGCACCAACACTGACTGGCAATGAATCAGTTTTTAAAAAGCAGAAAACATAAAAAAAAAACAAAACAAAACCCAAAAACCTAAAAATCAAAAACCAAGTTTGGAGAAAATGCAGAGAAAGTAGAAACATTTGGAATTGCCCAGCAGCAAATGAAATCATGTAACTACTGTGGAAAACAATTTTGAATTCTCTTAAAATTTTAAACTGGTAGCTGGTTATCTCTTCTGGTGGCTGTGGCAAAAGAATTACCACAAAATCAGGGCTAGATTGTCCCACACAACAATTCTATCCCATCAGGGCTGAAAAGTGAGACTCTTAAAAATAAAATGAAAAACAGTTTAATAAAATTACGGTATGAATCAACAGTTCTATTTATAATACTAGATAGCAGAAATCATTGAATTTAGGGGTCATCACCACGGCTCATCAGGTAAGATGATTACCAAGCAAGCCTGATGATCGAAGTTCAGATCCTGGAACTCACATAAAGAACACAGAGGAGAACAGACTCCACAAAGTCCTCTTCTGACCTCCACCTGTGTGTGCCCAAAACACATATCATAGGCATGAAACACATTAATAATAAAAGAGAAAATTTGAAACTAAAAGGTCGAAGATGGATGCCCCAATGTTGCAGGAGAAACGTGGGTGACTGTCCAGGCAGTCAGCTGCTCCTGTCATTTGTCACATTTTTTGGAAGTCAGTTGTTCGCACTTCTTGCTTACTCAGTTAATATTATTTCCTTCTCAGGTCTCTGATGGAGTTGAAGATTAGATAGTCTTAGTCCTAGTTTTCCTTGTTAACAAATTCAGAAAAAAAAAAAAAACTTACTGAAAGAGGTGTAAAGTATATAAGACAGAAAGACATCCAAAGAAAGTTTTGGGTTGGTAAGACAAGTTAGGATAAAAAGTGAATTAGGTACAACTTTGCATTCACCAAAATCAGATAAATGATGGAGTATTTTCTCTGAATTTGTCAAATGTGTTTGGACTGGACATTGGGAATGTAATGATTGACTGTATATGTCGTATGTACTTATGTATATAGTTTTTCTTCTATTAGTTATCACCTCCTTGTATTATTTTAGACGGACAAATAAAAGGTGGGGTATGGGATGGTCTATTGTGTATCAAATGAATCTTGCCTGAGGATCAGAGGGCAGTGCAAGCCACAAAATTAAACACGAAGGCCAGGCAGTGGTGGCACACAGGCAGTGGTGGCCTAGCCCTCGGGAGGCAGACATCTGTCTGGAGCTGTGAGTTCCAAGCCACCCTGGACCTCAGGAGATTGATTCAATCTAAGTGAGAACCAAGGCATGCATTGGTGGCCACACCTTTAATCCCAGTCCTTGAGAATCACATGCCTCAAATTCCAGCACCAGCAAGGAAGTGATCTTGGTTGGAGAAAGGTATATCAAGGCATGAGAACACAGAGGCTTTCACAGACAGGCTTAGCAGAGTCAGGGAGGCAAGACAGTGGCAGTAGCTTGTTCTTTAGTCCCTCTGATCTTTACACTAATATCTGGCTGCTGGTTTTTTGGTTTTGTTTTGTTTGTTTTTTAAAAAGGGCCATTTAAGATTTTGTGCGACACCTGGTGCCCGACGTGAGAAGCGAAAAGACAATGGCCCAGGGAGCAAGACCCAAGTCGGCCTCTCAGGTAGAAGTGTTGCAGCTGAGGTCATTGTCCCCAGGGTCAGGACTTAGGAGCAGAAGGACAGCTGGCGGCTCTCTTTGCAGCTTCTGGGGGCGAACCCGAAATGGGCGACAGTGCCATGGCAGAACAGGATGTGGAAGAGCAGCTTTTGGATTATGATGAATTTGAAGAGCCCCAAGCAGCCCAGGAGAGCACCCCAGCTCCCCCGAAGAAAGATGTCCAAGGATCTTATGTGTCGGTTCACAGTTCTAGTTTCAGGGACTTTCTGCTGAAGCCGGAGCTCCTGAGAGCCATAGTGGAGTGTGGCTTTGAGCACCCTTCAGAGGTCCAGCATGAGTGTGTTGCCCAGGCCATTCTGGGTATAGATGTCCTGTGCCAGGCCAAGTCTGGGATGGGCAAGACGGCGGTGTTTGTGCTGGCCACCCTGCAGCAGATGGAGCCCGTGGAGGGCCCCGTGTCCGTATTGGTCATGTGCCACACCAGGGAGCTGGCCTTCCAGATCAGCAAGGAGTCTGAGCGCTTCTCCAAGTACATGGCCAGCGTGAAGGTATCTGTGTTCTTTGGGGGCCTCTCCATCAAGAAGGATGAAGAGGTGTTGAAGAAGAACCGTCCCCACGTGGTAGTGGGGACCGCAGGCTGGATCCTGGCACTGGTCCGCAGAGGGAGCCTCAACCTGAGGAACGTGAAGCACTTTGTGCGAGACGAATGTGACAAGATGCTGGGACAGCTGGACATGCGGCAGGATGTGCAGGACATCTTTCGAGTGACGTCCTACGAGAAGCAGTGCATGATGTTCAGCGCCACCCTGAGCAAGGAGATCCGGCCCGTGTGCGGGAAGTTCATGCAGGATCCCATGCAGGTGTGTGTGGAGGACGAGAGCAATCTCTGGCTGCACAGCCTCCAGCAGTACTACGTCCAGCTCCAGGAGAGCCAGAAGCTCTGCGAACCCCTCGACGTCCTCGAGTATAACCAGGTGGTGATCTTTGTCAAGTCTGTGCAGCGTTGCATGGCCCTGGCCCAGTTCCTAGTGGAACAGAACTTCCCAGCCACTGCTATTCACCGAGGCATGCACCAGGAGGAGCGCCTGTCCCGCTTCCAGAAGTTCAAGGATTTCCAGTGGCGCATCCTGGTGGCTACCAACCTGTTTGGCAGAGGTATGGACATCCAGCAAGTCGACGTCGTCTTCCACTATGACATGCCAGGGGACTCAGATACCTACCTTCACCGAGTGGCTCGTGCTGGTCGCTTCGGTACCAGAGGCCTGGCGCTCACTTTTGTATCTGAGGAGAGTGATGGACACATCCTCAGTGATGTCCAGGGCCGGTTTGCAGTGAATGTGGCAGAGCTTCTGGAAGAAATAGAGATCTCCACACACATTGCTTGAAGAACTAACTGAAAGACCTTTGGACAAATAAACACCCAAAGAGGAGCGGAGAACTACCCCAAAAGAAAAAAAAAATTCCGGAGAAAAGGAATAATCAGACCTAATGGGATCTCTGAAGTCCTAAAAAGACATTGGGATCCCACAACAACAGTTCCACCATGACTTTGATGACACCCTTAAGATGAGCGTCACCATCTACTAAAGACATGCTTTGGACTACAAACTGCTCAGGACAATTTCCAGATGGGTACTGGAGATCCAGCCTCACAGAGTACTCTAGCCAAGACTTGAGACAAGCCGTGCACTCTCCAGTGATGCAGAGACTGGACAGCAATGGACACAGCTAATTCTCTCAAAGGACTTGACAAGGAACCCCCAAATGTTTCTTTTCTACTTCCCCTAAAGATGCCTCCCCTCCCCCAGACAGCAGGAAGTAATTTGAAGGACAGGAGGACAATGACGCCCATATTCCCAAGAGGTGGGGTGGCTGTGGCGATATTTTATTGTATCCCCCAATGATGTTTATCTGAGGGTCAGAGGAGAAAGCCAGCCTCCATAGTAAACATACAAGTCAGGCAATGGTAGCACATGCCTTTCATCCTATCTCTGGGGAGGCAGGGATCTGTCTGGATCTCTGTGAGTTCAAGGCCACACTGGGAACAGAGCCACCTGTGGTGGCACACACCTCAAATTCCAACACTAGTATAGAGGTCTGCAGGTCTGTACACACAGAGAGGAAGTGACAGAGCCAGGCAGGAAGAGGAAGTGAGGTGCCGGGTGCAGGAGGGAAATGAGTTAGCACAACAGAACGGAATGTGGGCGTGGGTATACAGGAAATAGAAGTCTTTGGAAGCTGAGGGTTGGCAGGGTGAGTTTGGCTTTGGCTTGTAGTATTCCTCTGACCTTTCAGAATTTACACTTATATTTGGTGCCTGTTTTTTTTTCTTTTCTTTTTTTTTTTTTTTAATAAGACCATTTAGCAATTTGTCTTATGAGTGGGTGGCTTTTGGTCACACCTGTCAGAATGGCTAAGATCAAAAACACTGAAGACAGCTAATGTTGGAGAGAATATGGAGCAAGGGGAACACTCCTACACTGTTTGTGGGAATGCAAACTTTTGTGGTCACTTTGGAAATCAGTTCGGCACTTTCCGAGAAAAAAATTTTTTTTAATGATTATGAGACATCAGCTCCTGGCAGCATGAATCTACTTCAGAAAAGACGATGGACATTGTAAACACTCCACATAGAGTTTATTTTCTTTCTGGGAAAAGTGAGCCAGCAGGCAAGAGAGTTTCCTTGCCTCGACTGCTGACAGTATGCTGTAGAAAGGTCTCTGGATATCTCCAACATTGTGTTTGCTGTCATTTTGAATACATTTTTAATTTCTGACACTACAAGAAGCTTCAGATTCACCTACATTTTATATCTTGAGTCTATAATTAGGTATTTTTCTGAAGAGTGTAGACTAGAATCATGGGATAAGAACAATAAGAACCAAGGCCTTGGCAGTAGGTGTGTTCATTGTATCAAATTATTCTCACACTTTCATCTTCTCAGCTCTTTGAAGAGTTGTCTTAAGTAGGGTTTCTATTGCTGTGAAAAGACACCATGACCCAGACAACTCTTATAAGGAAACCATTTAATTGGTGTAGCTTGTTTACAGTTTGAGAGGTGTGTAGTTGAAAGACCCCTGAAACAGTAGGAAGGCCCTTCAGAAGATCCTCTTTCACAGAAAAGTCTGTCAGATACACTAAGCTTGTAGGCTGAAGACAGAGGGACCAATGTTGCAGGGGAACCTTGGGTGACTGTCCAGGCAGTCAGCTGCTCCTGTCATTTGTCACATTTTTTGGAAGTCAGTTGCTTGCACTTCCTGCTTACTCAGTTAATATTATTTCCTTCTCGGGTCTCTGATGGAGTTGAAGATTAGATAGTCTTAGTTCTTGTTTTCCTTGTTAACAAATTCAGAAAAGAAACTCACTGAAAGAGGTGTAAAGTATATAAGACAGAAAGACATCAAAAGAAAGTTTTGGGTTGGTGAGACAAGTTAGGATAGAAAGTGAATTAGGTACAACACTTTGCACTCACCAAAATAGGATAAATGATGGAGTTTTTTCTCTGAATTTGTCAAATGTGTTTGGACTGGACATTGGGAATGTAATGACTGACTGTATATAACATATGTGCTTATGTATATAGTTTTTCTTCTATTAGTTATCACCTTCTTGTATTATTTTAGACTGACAAAAAGGGCGGGTTATGGGATGGTATATTGTGTATCAAATGAAGCTTGCCTTAGGTTCAGAGGGCAGTGCTGTGGATATCACTCTATATAAATAAAACACTGATGGCCAGTGACCAGGCAGGAAGTATAGGTGGGGCAAAGAGAGAGGAGAATTGGGGAAACAGGAAGAAGGAGGAGAGACACTGCAGCCACCGCCAGGAGAGGCAACCTGTAAAGACGCCGGTAAGCCACCAGCCAC